TGTGTGTGTGTGTGTTGTGTGTGCGCGTGCGTGCGTGCGTGCTAGTGTAGTGTAGTGTAGTGTGTGCAGGGGGGAAGGTTCTGCTGGATGGTTATAATTGTGTTGCTCATAATCTCTGTTAACTTGATGTAATGATGCATTGTGATTTCTCTTTATGATGTGCAGAAGGAAAGGAGATTTGAGAAGAAGATGAAGAAGAAGGGGCTGATGATCAAGAAAATGAGGGATGATGGAGCTTGTTTGTTCCGTGCTGTTGCTGATCAGGTCTACGGAGACCAAGACATGCATGGTAATGTACGTCAGCAATGCATGGATTATATTGTAAGTATGCAGAAAGTTTGTTCAATTTTTGTCTTTAACAGTATACATGATTCATATAGTAGATAAACAGGTAATGCCGTGAAATATTATTTACCTCTCTAATTTGGATTGTTGAACAAAAGGCATTATTGGAATTTTAGCATTTGTCAGTGTTACCGAGTTGATGAACTTGATGATTGGTAAAACACTCTTTAGGCAGTGCGTCTTTCTATCCTTAGATATTTGATGTGTAAATTCTTCTTTTTCTCTTGACAGTCCAGAAATGAAGATGCGTTTGCTCCATTTGTTTCGGAGAACTTCCAGACATATGTCCAAAGAAAAAGACGTGATGACTGCTTTGGTAATCATATTGAGTTGGCAGCCATGTCAGAAATGTATAACCGTATCATTGAAGTCTATTGTTATAGTGTTGGTAAGTACTGAAGTTTTAGAATTGATTGGCATTGTAATTATAAATCTAGAATCATTGTATTGGTCATTTCTCACTTATCTATTTATTTCCTTATTATTTTTGTATGTGATGTCATTATTATTATTACTATTATTATTATTATATCATCATCAGTATTATTATTATGTCAGGGTTCGTTTTAGGGATCAGAGCGGTCAGGCCAACAGAAACGCACCAGAGGACACTTTTCACAGGTTTTACTGAAAGCACAATATACAACATACCAATCAGGAGAAATACAGGCGGTAGAGGATCCAGTGGAGCGGGCGAAGTTACCTGGCGGAGGGACAGTTGTGGGACAGCTGCTGAATTTTTGGCTGATGCTCCTTTTAAGTGACCTGTCAGATTAAGTCACGACATCCTCATTGCCCTCGAGGTGTGGGAGTCAAATCGCGGGTGACTTAACCCCCACCTGGACTCGGCTAAACACCAGCGAAGGTCCAAAGCGATCTCGTTGTGACATATTTTTTTGAGAATAATAGTAAAGATAATAGCAGTGATAATAATGATGATAATAATCATAGTAATAATTATGTTGATGATTATTATTTGTTGTTACTTTTTTTATATTAATATTGATAATATGGTAATAATGACTAAAATGATGATACTGATAATAATGATAATTATTATTATTATTATAAGAATAATGATAATCAGAACAATGACTATTATTATTATTAGTATTATTATTACTGTTATTGTTTTTATTTGTTTATTTATTATTATTATTATTTATTATTTTTTTTTTTAATTATTATTATTATTTTTTATTATTATATTATTATTATTATTTTTTTTTTTTTTTTTTTAATATTATTATTATTATTGTTATTATTATTATTATTATTATTTTATTATTATTTTATTATTATTATTATATTATTATTATTATTATTATTATTATTATTATTATTATTAATTGTCTTGAATCCTACAGAACCAATCAAAAGAACTGCTAATACGACTGCTGCTACTACTATTGTTATGATTATTATCATATATTGTTATTGTTTTTATTGTCATTATCATCTTGACTTTTCCAGAACCAATCAATAGTTTCCAAGGATCCCTTCAGACAGACAACGAACCCATCCGTTTGAGCTACCACATGGGCACGCACTACAACAGCCTCGTGGACCCGTACAAAGCCACAATTGGGGTGGGTCTCGGTCTCCCGGGCTTCCAACCAGGCCTGGCCGAGAAGAACCTGCTGAAGGAAGCTACCAGACAGAGTGAGAATGTGCATTTAGAACAGGTGGAGTTATTATTAATTTTTTTTTATGGCCTTTTCTTTTCGTTTTTTGTGCATTTTTCTTTCCTTTGGCATTACTGTTTGTTGTTTTTTAAAAGTTTTATGGATTTTTATTTCCTTGTTTAGTGTTGATGTAGATTAGCTTCAAAGTATATAGGTGTGACTCTGTTTGCCCCGCTCAAGGTCTGGCTTGACCCCCATAGGCGACAGTTTTTATTCTTTTTACTTTTATCTTTTATTTATGTTTTAAAAACTAAAGTACACAGATGTTGGTTTGGTAATAGCTCAAAAATGCCCGTAGATTGCAATTCCTTCTAAATTTCTATTCACTTTTCTCACTTCCCACCACCCCCCAATAAAAAGCTATAAGTGATTTAATCGGTTTTATTACAGAACGTGAAGAAGAAAAAAAATGTTCAGGTTATAATTTAATGAAGGGTGACAGGGCTTGGAAGATGTAACTTGTGAGAGCAAAAGTGTGTTGTATAATATTCATACTAAAATATTGTAGTTACTACTACTGCTTAGCTGAGTATGATATTTGAATTGATATTCCTTTCAAACTTTCCTTGAGTTCATGTGTTTGTTTGTTTTTTCTATTTGGTTTATGCTTTCTCTCTCTCTCATAGGCTATGTTGGAGGACAAAATTCGTGCTACTGACTTCGAGGCCACAAATGATGCATAGAAGAGCAAGTTGCCCATGAAAGTTATCTTCAATGGCTGAGAGATAATGAAAAGCGAAGTAAAAGTCAGGTAAGGTTGATCAACTTTATTATTATCACTTCTGTTGATGATGGATTAAGAATTGGCTATTATATTGGCCGGTAATGTGGATTTTTGTACACATCATCAGTTTCCTTATTTGTACCCAGCTTATTTGGTAGTTTAGGCACAACTGTGGGTACCTATTCACTTGTTGAGAGTATAAAGATGACTAGCTGATTGTGTGGTGTGTATCATTATGCTTTGCCAACTGCAACTTGGTCCAGTACAGCCATGGCTTGATGACAAGCCATCCACATTTAATGGGTTTGATGCTGTGTCATGATTGATTTTGATATATCCAATAGAAAATGGCAGTTGTATTAAATGAACTATTGTTCTGCAGAGACCCCCATCATCCCCCTCAAGCTCTGGCCACAGTGAGAGGTGTCGGGGCAGGACCTCACCTCTCCATCCAGCCCCCCAGCCAGAGGGATCCAGCGACACAGCCCGAAGCTCTCCTAGGTCTTCACCCCGCACCAGTGAGCTCGCCCGGCTGTCCCCACGGGGCTCCACCTCCCCCATGGGCTCCACCTCCTCTCATGGATCTACCTCACCCAGAGGGTCGAGTTCACCCCGCGGGTCCACTAGTTCAAAGGACACAGCCATGGAGTCAGCTGAAGACCAGGCAGTACCAGGCTCATCCAAGGACCCCATGCCTTCCTCTTCAGGTTACTCATGCATGGGGGAGTTCATGGTCAATGAGAGGGCCTCTTTCCTCAACCTCCTCCCATCAGACATATTTGGTGAGTCAAGGAGTGAGTTGTTTGAAGGGACAGTTTGTTGTTATTAAGTGATTTTGCTTGCATAACTATTAGTTGTCTGGGAATATTTTCTCTCACATAATCCTTATTATTGTTGCTATAGCTTCAAACCACAAGCATAACATAAACTTAAGATGTAAGATTCTCTTGTCTTCTCTCCTCCTGGTTCGTTAGACTCTCAACGCTTCCTTTCCTTTACTTTCCATCAGGTTTGAGCGACTATTCCAACGCAGAGGCAGACATCCTGGCCCAGGTCCTTGCAGCCAGCCAGCAGGAGTACTTAGACTCCCTGAAGTGCAAGACGAAAGAGGACAGCTCTGACTCATCGTCCTCCTCGTAACCCTCAGTCTTTCTGTAGCAAAATCTGCCATTTTTCAAAATATGCATTCTTAGTCATGACAGACCAAGTCAAAATCATTTCATGGCAACAAAATTTTGCAACACAAGTTTGCCTTTGTAATTATGAATAACCCAGCATACTTATACATTTTTGTCTTATTTACAATAGTGTGAAGAAAAAGGTAAAGAAAAAGAGAGGAAAAAACAGCATACAAGACAAAGCGGTTTCCAGAAGTTTAGTTTCCACTGAAGCATCTTTTGGCAAAGTTGCTTAACCAAAGTATCCATAAACATGTACTGTATTTGGAAATCTCAGTAATTTGTATATAGTCATTTCCATCGTCATTAGTTCAAGCTGCTCATCATGTTGCCTTGTGATCATGAGTCATGTCATTTATATAGCCCATTTTTTCCCCTTGTATATATAGATTCAGGTATTTTAGATTACTGCTTTCATGAGTTCCATTTTTTATATCACTGAAAAGTATGTTAGAAACTGCGTGAACCACACCACATTGCATGATTTTTGAGTCAAAACACATCTTGGAATATATATATATGCACTTGCACGTGCGTGCACACACACACACACACACACACACACACACACACACACACACACCACACACACACACACACACACAACACAACACCACACACACACACACACACACACACTCACACACATACACCACTCACACTCATACTCACTCACACTCACACACAGTCACTCTCTCTCACTCTCTCTCTCTCACTCTCTCACTCTCTCACTCTCTCACTCTCTCTCTCTCTCTCTCTCTCTCTCTCTCTCTCTCTCTCTCTCTCTCTCTCTCTCTCTCTCTCTCTCTCTCTCTCTCTCTCTCTCTCTCTCTCTCTCTCTCTCTCTCTCTCTCTCTCTCTCTCTCTCTCTCTCTCTCTCTCTCTCTCTCCCCCCCCCTCGCTCTCTCTCCCCCCCCTCTCTCTCTCTCTCTCTCTCCCCCCTGCTCTCTCTCACACACACATACACACACACACCACACTCACTCACTCACTCACTCACTCACTCCACTCACTCACTCACTCACTCACTCACTCACTCACTCACTCACTCATTCACTCACTACCTCACTCACTCACACTCACTCATTCTCACTACACATTCACAAATACTCACTCATTCTCGCTCTCGCTCTTGCTCTCACTCTCACTCCCCCCCCCCTCTCTCTCTCTCTCTCACTCTCTCTCTCTCTCTCTCTCTCTCTCTCTCCTCTCTCTCTCTCTCTCTCTCTCTTCTCTCTCTCTCTCTCTCTCTCTCTCTCTCTCTCGCTCACACATCTAGCCTCCGAAAACCACATATAAGGCTCACAGTCACAAAGTTCCCCCAATGCAAAAAATTTCACATACACCATTTGTTCCTCCGTCATCCCTAACGTATTTGTATGTGTCAAACGACTATTGATATAGGACCGACTCATAGCTCACATAGCATTAGAGAAAAAATCAAACTATCATCCGGTGTCTTAGGAGAAGCAAGCAAGGTGGCAAGTGAGCAGGGCATGAAATAATACGTTTTAGTCTTTAATTTTCTGTCGTTGTGTATGGCGTTCGTTAAGATATGCCGATACTGGTGCTGTTGTTGTATTGGTGGGAATTGGCATGCATTTATTTTATTTGTGGGTCTTTTTTATTCTTTCTTTCTTTTTTTTTTTTTTTTTTTGCATTTCTGGGAATCAGGCTGAATTGAGAGTGGGGATTTGTTATTTATTTGTTTTGTGTAAAGCATTCTCTTGAAAGAAAAGAAAAAAAAGTCAAAATCATGAAGAATAAGTTGTTCACTGTGTTAGTCATATATCTGTGTCGTGATGAGATGTGTAGGATTGAATCATTGTAATGATAAGTTTATGGCCTCATCTCTTCAAGATGAGTTTCTTCAAGTGCAATATTTAATCTGACCAATGCGTTTGCCATTATTTCATGCCCTTGTACCAGATGTCAATGTTGATAGAGCAAATCTTGGCATAGTCTTTTCTTTTCTTCCCTTTCTTTTCTATATATTATCCTCTGAATACAGTAAGTAAAAGATATAGAGTAATAATTTTCATATGCTGAAATTTGTTCTATTCTTTTGTTGTTTCTTTTATTTTTGTGGGTTATAAGTTGTCCTATCATTTTTCTCTTTTTGTCCGTTATTGCATATGCAAACTTTAACTTGTTATCATAATGACTTTTCACTCATTGATATTCAGTTTTAGAATATCAAATTCATTTTGGGTTCCATTGAATTTCCATGTTTGCATTTCTGAACATCCAAATAGTCGGAATATTCATCATTGATATGTTTTAAGTAAGTGCAAAAATGCAGTTCATGTCTACCTCACACGTTGCTGAGCGTGCCAAGTGATTTGGTGAAATGGGCGTTTTCTTCTTCTTTTTCCATGGAAGCTATAATGTTTCACAAACAAATTGTGGTAGTTTCTAAATGAAAGAAAGCTGTAATAAAGACCAAGGATAATTGATTTACTTTTAAGACTTTGAAGAATTGCAGAGAAAACAGATACAAGGGTGTATAGACTGTAATACAGTCTAAGACCCTTTTAAAGAAGGAAGAAGAAGAAAGAAGGCTTTAAAAACATATTCAGCTTCATATTACTTTGCTCATTCCATCAGTAGTAGTTTCGCCAAGGCTGGTCACAAAAATACACGATTGTACTTGCCATAAACACACTCTGAACACATTAGGCGACTTTTTTTTTTTTTTTCTTTTTTTCTTTATTTCCCATCCACTTGGATGAAACTAGGACATTAAACTCCCATGAATTGAATGTGGCACACGATTGGTCAGACTTGGCATTTGGGCATTTACTTAGGGCACCGAATGTGTTCGTTTTTCCACTTCAGAATGCAGTGTGTCTCCAGCATAGAGGAGTGGTTATTATTACATAATTATTTTTCCCGGCCGTAATGATGACACATGCATATTTTTTCCTTTGTTACCATTGCTTGAATAAGTTGTCAAGTATAATCTCAAAATTTTTACATTTATGTCTTGGGGTCTTGTGGCATATATACATATTTATATTTTTGTGATTTATTTTGTGAATGTGAAGTTTTTGTAGCTGTTATGTGGAAAAGTTTAAAAGAAAAGTATAAAATGTTTTGTTGAACTTGTTTTATGTTTATTTTTAAATCTTTATTCATTTGTTTTATGTAATAACGATAATGATAATGTCCTAGAGTAATCATTGGTAAAAAAAAAAAGCTATATATGAAAAGATTACTTTGCTTTATATAGAATGTCAGTGGAGAATGTCCAGTCACTATCTTTTTATACATATTTATTAGGCCTCTCAGCTGCTAATACCATTTGCCAAAAATTCCAAAAAATAGCTTGGTTCTAATAGATGCTTACTGTTTAAACCGGTCAAAAGCAATCAAGTATATGTTTACAAGTCTAGTGGAGAGCTGATGTATAGAACGTAGACTCTTGGCTTGCGCATTTTGTGTTTCCCTCTTTTTTCTGTTTTATTTGCTCCTTGAAATCTACACCAACATGGAATAGTGAAAGAAGTTTTGGCACATTTACGTCAGGATTGTAAATGTTAGGCATGATCTCAAGACCAGAGAGTGACTATATAGAGATGAACATTCAGAAATGGAAGCATACGATTTATTTTATTCTTTTTATCTTTTTCAGTGCTTATTATAAAGATAATTTTTGCTGTTTTCCTCATATTACAAATTAATTATCTGTGTGCATGTATATTGAGAAGACCTGTGTCTCCAAAGATACTAAAAGAGTAACTTGAAGGAATCAGAAACAACTCACCCCCTACCCCTCCACCCCTTGTCTGCTGCCAAGACACTGATAGCAATTTGAAGTTTGTGAGACATCATTTGTTTATTCACAATTATTTGTCCATTTATTTATTTATTGATGTATTATTATTTTTTAACTTCAAGGAAATTTTGGTGTATGTGCCATTGTTGTGAGAATGCTGTAATTGGGTACTGCTTTAACTTACCAAGACATCCCACTATCAGTTTTTAAGTGTTGAATTAATCTCAGTGAATTACCATCAACTTGATACCTATTATGGTTTGCAATGTAGAGAGCAATAGGTATTAGGCTTTGTATGTTAAGTTCTTTTGTGATATTCTCATGTTTGTAATATTGTGTACCATGAAATGAAGAAAAATGGAAGACAAGTACACAAAAAGCAAAGAGTGCTTGCTGTGTTGCGGATCACCTTACGAGGATCTATTTTACAATTAGTTACGTGCTTCAATAATAGAGGATATCCCATTTCCAGTGTATTGTGTGGAGTCAGAAGTACTTTTTGAATGTGAAAGAGCGACTAGGGTACTACTAGATGTAAACTAAAGAACAAAATATTCTCATCATGTTCCCTATAATTTCTTCTTTTTTTCCACCTATGGCTGGGTCACTGTCTACGGTGTTAAAGAGATTTATTGCAGTTGTGGCATCCACATTCCTTTTCTCTTAAATGGAAAATGTCCAGTATTGATGCTGTAGATATGTAATGAAATGTCTGCACCAAAGTGATGTTTTGAATGACTAAACCTGCAACCCTTTGCAGTTGCTAATTATATTTATGGGTAATACACAGAGTTGAACTGAAATATTTTGTTAATAACTTCAAGTATATTTATATAACATGCAGAATTGTGCAGGCTCTATGTAAAAAGTGGAAAGTGTTCATCTGGTACATCATAAATGACAGAAACAATCTATTTCTATTCATGTATTTTTCTTGTTGCACTATTTTCCTGAGATTATGCTATTATTTACAGATTTGCCAAATTTTCCAAACATGTCACTCGGAAGCTTCCAGTCTTGATTGTATGTAGGAAAATTAGTTTTCCAATATTGCATTTAGTTGAACAGAAGGGTCGATAGGAAACATTATACCCTAGAGGCTGATGTGTAGTCAAATTTATTTTTAAAAATTAAACTTTCTTTTGTGTTATAATATACTCGATACACAAAGTGTGTGTGTGATGTTTTTGTGCTCTTTACCACAGCGATTAATCAATATTATATACTAAATGAAATCCATGAATCCACAAGACAGAAGGATACTACTAACATGTATTGTATCATCAAGGGAGAGTGAAAATTACGTGTAATGGAACTTTGAAGTCATAT